GGTTCCCTTCGAATCTGGCTAGAAACATTCGAGCCCTAAATCAAAAAATAGGAACCCTAGAAATTCAAATCATGGAATCCGTCCAGATTAAGTGAGGATTCGGGGTCTGATCGACCTTAATCGAAGTGTTCTCAGTTGAGAACACTTTGACTAAGGTCTGTTCGACCTCAAAGTGTCCGAGTCCGAAGATCGAGCCTTGGTCCGCATAATTCTGATATTTTGAGGTATTTTCCTTTTTTCACTTGTATCTGTTTATATCTATTTATTTGTTAGTTTAGTTTTATTGTTTTTTTTAATTCTTTTGTCAATTAATTCTGTTCATCTTCAGTAGACTTTTTTATTTGGTCCAGTTCTTCATTTGTTTATGTTTGTTATAATTGTTATGTGTAATAATTTGTGTAATCGACTAATAAGTTGCGTCGATTAATTAATTTTCAGTTAATCTATGTTTCTGTCGATACCACTGAAATTACCCGTGAATTACCTGATTATCTGGGTCTGATTGTTTAGCGTCAATTGTTGTAGGCAATTAGTTAATTAGTTTCGTCGATTAATTCGTTCTTGTTTATAAACAATAAGTTCGTCAAATGGTTGTTGTGTGTGCTGATATGTGGACACTTAGTTTCAAGGCATTGTCAATAGGCTGACAATGAACTTGCATTCATGTTGACTCTGATTTTATTGTTCAATATCAGCTTTAAGGATTCTATCAAGTTCTATGTTGTGTTAAGTCTGGTGTTGATTTAATTTCAAGTTCATTTGTTCCAATTGATTTCTAACCTCAGTCCTTCAGTTATCAGAAAATAAGTTTGATTATAGTTGTTAGTCAGGTTTAATTTTCAAATTTTTGGATTAGTTAAAAACAGATTTCAGAACTTAAATTTTAATACAGCTGAATAATTGTATTAGGAGGCAGTAATATTAAGGGGTTTTCAGGGGTGATTTGGGAATGAAACAGTTAGGGTAATATTTTAATGTTAGTGTTTTGTGAGTGGGATATTAATTAATTTAGTAATGGGGAACAAAAGAGAATGGGTGGCTGAAAATAAGGAAAAGTTTTCCTTAGTGGGATTTAAAGTGGAAAATTCAGATTTTTAGTAGAAAAAGGGGGCTGGAAAGGGTCTGGCTTTGGGTATAAGATAGGGGTCATTTGGGACTAAGAGGGGGATTTTTTTGAACACAAAGAAAAAAATTCAGGGTTTACGTTAAAAAAGAACTGATTTTTCAGAACTAAAAATTGATTCTGAGAGTTAAAAACTGAAAGTTAAGCCTTTCTTTACGGCTGAAAATCAGAATTCTGTTATTGCTTCCGTGGTTTGCATTTGGTACTACTGATTTTCGGATTGGCTTTCCTGGTTTTTCTTTTGGTTTTGGAGTGTTGTTTCGTTTGAATTTTTGGGTTTCTATTTGGTTTTCAAGTTTTCTGCTTGGTATCTGAATCTGGCTATTGGGTTTCTGCCGCTATTTGTTACGGGGTTGTTCTGTGTATTCCTGCGCTATTGCTGTTGTTGTGTTGTTTACTGCTGTCCTGCCGATCTTCCTCTTCTTCTCTTGTTCTATTACCAGGTACATTCTCGAATCACAATGTCATGTAACTGTTGAAAAAATGAAAGGCAATGCTCGAATAGTCGAGTATTTAAGTTGTACTGATAGCTTAATAGTCAAATGATAGGTAGTTTTATAGTCTATCTTTGTAATTCAATAAAGAAGGTGGACTATAAGATTTATATTCGACTGAACTATTTTCTACAATTTTCCTTAGTTTCGATGTATGATAGTTGGGGTTTTGTTTTGTTTTAAATAAATTTATCAAGTTGTTGGAATTGAACAAGTTTAGGTAATCCTAATTGGAGCCGGCATCAGTCTGAAATAATAGGTTAATCGTGAACATGTAGATAAACCTAGTTAAGGCGTGAATTTGAGCTAATTATGTGAATTAGGTATTAAGGTTTGGTTCAGGCAGCTTGTTTATTTAAAAGGGGGGGCTTGTTTGGTTTGAAGAGGTAAGTGTTGAATAGGTTTAGTTCTGCCAGTTTTAGGCAGAAATAAAAAGGCCATTAACTTTATAGAATTCGTAGGTTTGACATATTTGAAGCGCGATTCAATGTAGAAAGGATAAGAACCTTAATCCAATAGGTTATTCAAGTTAACGAGCTAGCTTCAACAAACGTTCGTAAGCATCAGTAATTAAGGTGGGTTTAGTTTTAAATAGTTGAAAAACATTTAGTCCCAATGAATCAATTCGTCTAACAATGCGAGTTTAATCTAGCTATAGGCTAATTAGTTTCTTCTGAATATATCATTTGTCGATTCCGTATTTTATTTATAATTTTAATTTTAGTAATTTTCTCTTCCGTTAACATTTGTCTTAATCTAGCAATTAATATGTTACGCTTTTTTTTTGGCATGTAATTAATTAGGATTTTTCTCTTTTATTTTAGAGACGAATTTAATAGCAATGTAGTCACTTTAGGATATCCTTAAAATAAATGAGGCGTGCTTCGCAAAAAAAATAAATCGTAAGCTGCGGGGCCCTCTATACGTGTTTGAAAAATTACTTAGACTTCGGGATGAGCCGTTTAGCAAAATTTCACGGCCTTACCCAAAATAATGATACTCTAGTCGCTTTAGGCGCGCCTTGAATAAATTACTTTTTTAAACTCGGGTGCACATTTATGTGACCCAAATCCAAATCTTAACGAAGTCGAAATGTGTCGATAACCACGGGTACATTGACTGTGACGTGATTCGAGATACGTTTTTCACAACGTTGCAATTCTCCGTAAAATAATAACAATAATAATAAAATTGATAAAAGCGGTTCAAAGTTAAAATTTGCATATAAGTTCTTAATTGTTAAAAATCAGATAAATAAGCCAAATATAACAGTTGAGCGACCGTGCTAGAACCACGGAACTCGGGAATGCCTAACACCTTCTCCCGGGTTAACAGAATTCCTTATCCGGATTTCTGGTTCGCGGACTGTTAAACAGAGTCAATCTTTTCCTCGATTCGGGATTTGACCGGTGACTTGGGACACCATAAATCTCCCAAGTGGCGACTCTGAAATAAATAAATAAATAAATAAATCTCGTTTTGATTGTCCTTTAATTGGAATAAACTCCCTTCTGCGTCCCTTTTGCTGGCGGCGCGGGCGAAAAAGGAGGTGTGACAATCTTTACGTTTATCGGTTGGTATTAGGTGAAATCACATATCCTTAAAATCAATTTATAAATTTAATTGTTATCCAATTTTTAGGGTAAACAAAGCCCTTTCCATTCTTTCTGCAAACCATCCATTTCTATCTTAGCCCTTTTTGTTGGTAGACTGAAGAAGAAGAAGTTTCATTATTTCCGGGGACTTAAAGTTAAAACAGTCGGAAACAAAGCTAAAGGGCAATTTAGGGTTGCGGTGCTTGTTTATCTCTACTCTATTTCACTTCAGATTAATAAACTACAATACGATACATAATAAAACGACACGTAATAACCATCCAAATAAGTTGTAAGGGATATGTACCAGCAGGTATCTGGAGACTAACTATAAAAGTTGAGAAACGTAGACCAACTAATAAACGATCTGCAATTGAAACGTTAACTTCATACCTCATGGTGTGATCTTCACTTTGTTTAATTTGCGAGACTATTTCCAAATATTGTTTCTCCAATTTTTGTTGGAATTCTCAGATTTATGCTCCCTCCGTCTTAATTTATCTGTCGTAATTCTCTCTTATACGGTCCTTAAGAAGATAGGAGGTATTTTTGACTATGTTATTCTTATTTATGTCTTGTTAGTGTTTGAACAATTATAATATTAACCCATAATGGAGGTGTTTGTAGTCTTCAAGAACAATTACTATCAACGGTAAAATAGGGAAAAAATAGTTAAGTTTGTCCTGAACTATAAAAATGACAAACAATTTGAGACAACTATTTTTAGCAAATACGACAGATAATTTGAGATGGAGGGAGTACAAAATAAGCACACATGTTTGTCAGTAATGAAGGCTTTTCATTTTTTATTCTTGGTAACTGGTCTGTTATGTTGAAATGTATGACCATCTCACTTAAAAGCTTAATTAGATATAGAATATATTTTTTGTTTTTTTAACTATGTCTTCGAGACGCCTCTCACGTGCAGATCTGATTTTTTATGATGGGTGAAGCACATAAATATTCTTTTTTAAATAATGGATTACCGGTGAGATTCGAACCTATAACCTAGGATCTCTGCATACTCAGATTATCAATATGGCTATACGAGGATGTGCCTTTAGTTCTTGCTTAGATAGTTCATACAGCGAAGACAAACAAGATTCCATCTACTATTAATTTATTACTATTCAAATTCAATTCCAACTAAATATCTTTTATTTTTTCCTTCAACCATCAAAGTAACAGACTATCAAGTCCTCTGAACAAACAATTATATATAGTATAAATTAATGAAAAGAAAGTATCGGGAAAGAGAGAAAAGTCATACTCCGTACGTACAAACAATTTAGTACTAAGTTAAATGGATATATCGAGTTGTATCGACGACGACTAAGATAACCTAAATTCATTGGTGTGAATATATGAAATTGCTGCTCGTATAATTAGCAGCAGACCAAAGAATCACCGACGATTACTCTAAAACAGATTTTGCATAAACTGTCACATGCACTTGTTTTCTTCTTGTCTCTTTTCAACTTTTATTTAACAAACTCTTACGTACATTTCCGTATCTCCGGGGATTGCCAAAACAACGCGCATAATTTATATATATCTTTCTCAAAACGAAAAATAATAATAATATGAAAGACAAACCATACATGCTAATTCTTATTATTTGGAAGATGATATAAGTTTCTATTATAAGTAATCACCGACAACCGCGTATTACTATACTGCTGCATGCTACTCTGTAGTAAGCATTGATGAATTATTCGAATTTGAGAATCCCAAGTCTATAAAAAGAAGAAATAGGCACGTCCATTTATGCAATAGTCGAGTCATTAATATATCATCACTTCGATTCCAAGAAATCTTCACATTCTTGTTTCTTTTTGAGATTTTCAAGGTTATGGAGAAACTTGTTCCTTGTCTTTCGATTTGTGGGTTTGTTTTGTTGTTTACTTGTTTGTTTATTGAGGAGATCAACGGTCAAAATTGGCTTAATGGTCGCGCAACTTTTTATGGTGTTAATCAAGATCCTAGCACCTTTGGTAAGTCTCGTTAAATTAGTAACATGGGTACTGTAAATGTTTTGTTATAATGAATTTATTACAATAATTAAAACACACGTATGTTCTAGAAAACCAAACATGCATTATGCATATACTTTTTCTAGATGGGTTGAGTAAAATTTGAGACGGTCAAAGCAAGTCATATTTCAATGCTCTTTTGCTTTATATCATAATGTGTGTTATTGGCAGGAGAAGCTACATTCCGATAACTGTGGCCAATTGATCATTCTTAATCAAAAAATTATACTGAATACATAGATAAAATATTAGATTTAAAAGGTATATAACATATATTGAATATTCTTTATCGGAGTTTTATTACTTTGCTCAAATTTAAACATCCTTGAGAAAATTCCATCACTGCATATTGGTTCAAGATCGGTAAATAACGAGTCATAACCAAGTCCGCTTAACATGACCAAACTTTCCTTCCTTTTTTGTGTTGATTTTTGAAAATACATTACTACTAATGTATTTTTTTAAACTCTTAGCTTAAATATATAATTCTTCAAATTTTTCATGATTTTTAATCTCCGAATTTAATTATATATATTCGGGTTTATATATGTTGCATTTTGACTGATGGATTACACTGTTTGATCCATTTCGATTAATTAATTAGTTTAATGAATCACTTCAAGTTCAAAGTCTAGTCGATAATGGGATTACAATCCAATAAGCTTAATTTGAGCAAGTTGGATGTGTTGCTAAAAAGTGAGTTATATCTTGCTACCTATAATACTATCCGTTATTTATACTATAAGATAACTTATAAGACGTACAAAAGAAATACAACCTAATTTTTAACTCCTACTTGATTGGTCAGGTGGAGCTTGCGGTTACGATAACCCTTATCACGCCGGATTTGGAGTAAACACAGCGGCATTGAGTAGCGCACTGTTCAGAAATGGAGAAGCTTGTGGAGCTTGCTACACAGTAAGATGCAACCGCAAACTCGATCGTAAGTGGTGCCTCCCACATGGGGCCGTCACTGTGACGGCCACCAATTTTTGCCCTCCGAACAACCACGGAGGGTGGTGTGATGCACCACGACAACACTTTGACATGTCCATGCCCGCTTTCCTTCGCATTGCTCGACAAGGCAATGAAGGCATTGTTCCTATTCTCTACAAAAGGTAATATGCTATACCGTTTAAGTTTCTATATTATTCATGAACTTTTATGTCGTATTATAACTAGTGGCTATTTTGTGCAAACAACGTCAGTCTAATATTGTTACTACTCAGTTTGTATTTATATATCTGAGTGTGGGGTTGTAGAGGTTCTAAAGCTTTACTTTTTGTTTCAGAATATATTTTTTATAAACTTTTTCAGCGAAATAGTATCGGCTGACACCCATATATCTTCGCCACTGTTATACATATATTTACTTCTTTTCCAGTTTAAGTTTAAGTAGATGCATTATTTAAATATTATAAGTTCAATATTTAAACTTCTTAGTATTGAACCTATTATATTTTAAATTTATGGGTTCAGACCTAGTAATGTGTGTAATTTTAATGAATTTTTATACTAAATTTATACCTCACGTTGAAAATATTGGATTCATATGAACCCGGTAATATAACACTGCATAGCATACGCCTCTGTTAATTAAGATCTACACGTCCTAGCGATGCTATGTTTATAGACGTTTGTTAATAAAAGTCAAACTCGATTCTTTATCATATGCACAACTATAGATATATTAGAGAATAATTCCCATGTGAGCAACTTGCTTTCTGTTCAAGAATAAAGCTTACATTCCAACTACTAGACAACTTCTCTATATTTTAATGTTAACGTTGCACCTTTCGGCACGTTTATTTAATATATCCATTGTGCTGATATATATATATATATATATATATATATATGAGATTTCTGCAGGGTGTCATGTAGGAGAAGAGGAGGAGTACGTTTCACATTAAAAGGACAAGCAAATTTTAACATGGTGATGATATCTAATATAGGAGGTAGTGGTGATATAAAGAGTGTATGGATCAGAGGGTCAAGAACAAAAAGCTGGCTTGCTATGTATAGAAACTGGGGTGTCAATTGGCAAAGTCGTATTGACCTTCGATCACAAACGCTGTCGTTTAGACTCACTTTAGTTGATGGCAAGACTATGGAGTTCCTCAGCGTTGTACCTTCTTCATGGAAATTTGGACAGACTTTTGCCTCACGCAGACAGTTCTATTAATATAAATACCAATTCTTGAAGTCTAGATATATATATTTAACCTACATTATGTTCATGACCTGAGCTTTTTTAGATGGTTCATGGACATGCTTTGTAAGTTATTATGAAAGTTGTATCATTTTTCTTTTTTTTTTTCCTTTTTTTTTGGCATGACAATTTCATTGTTGTTGGAAGTCAAGAATAATGTGCATGGTTTTAACGAATTAATGCCTCATGTATTGTCGGCCTCGAGAATTTGAGAGCGTGACAAGCTGCTTATATTTTACTAATTCCATTCATTAATGTACTCTTAAATCTCATGAATGAGGAAGAAGAGGAAGTGATGGTGTTTAATTTCTTTAATTCGTTTTTATTTGGATTTCTTTTTCTTTGAGTCCATTACTCATATGGTTATTGAACTACATGAATTATCGAGTAACGTCACCTTTTTTTTATTTGTAACAAGAAAATCACTCAACTATCCGTATTGCACTCTGATGATCACTCAACTGGATTTATTCATTTTTTAGTGGAAAATGTTGCCTTCGCAATCCACATGAACTTTTGAACCATATAAACTAATTAATACCCGAAAAAAGCATATAAACCACCCATACACTCACCACCAAAGGATGTAGTGCAGCGGGGGGACTGCTCTTCCCTTAACCAGAGGTCTCGAGTCCGAGCCCTGGGTATGGAAAAATCCTTGGTAAGGAGAACTTCTCCCCGAATGGGGTCCTACGCAGCGCGAATCCAGATATAATCGAGCTCCAAAGCGGGTATCGGACACTAGGTGGAAAACCAAAAAGAAAAGAAAACACCCATACACTCAATCCGACCAGATGATAAGGATGAAAATCCACCTAAAAGTCTTACAACGTTCTTTCTTATAAACGGGTCGGATCGGGACGGATTGGGTGTACAAGTGAATATTTATGCTTTGTTAGGGTGTTAATTATTTTATGTGGTCCACTGCTCTTCCCTTAACAAGAGGTCTCGAGTTCGAGCCCTGGGTATGGAAAAATCCTTGGTAAGGAGCATTTCTCCCCGAATAGGGTCCTACGCAGCGCGAATCCAGATATAGTCGAGCTCCAAAGTGGGTATCGGACACTAGGTGGGAAACCAAAAAGAAAAGAAAAAAAACCATACACTCAATCCGACCAAATGATAAAGATGAAAATCCACCTAAAAGTCTTACAACGTTCTTTCTTATAAACGGGTCGGATCGGGATGGATTGGGTGTACCAGTGAATATTTATGCTTTGTTAGGGTGTTAATTATTTTATGTGATCCAAAAGTACATGTAAACTACCAAGTCAGCATTTTCTACCGAAAAAATTAATAAATTTGGTTGAGTAATCATGAGAATGTGATAGGGATAGTTGATGACTTTCTTGTTACAAATGAAAGAAAAATAATTTTACTCCATAATTTTACATAGTTCAATGACTTTCTTGTCCGTGACCATTATAAGATGTAAGCGATCAAAATAACGGGTTTTTTTTCTTGTGATCGATGATCAATGCAACAAGATGGAATTAACATCATGATCTACGCTAACAGCTAATAATAATAGGTGTCTCAAATGCTTTTATCATTGTTTTGCAAAGACAGTGTAATAGTCCGTTTGGCCAAGCTGCAAAAATCAACTTATTTTGAGAAATGCTTTTTCTCAAAAGTACTTTTGGTGAGAAGCAGTTTGTGTTTGGCTAATTAATTTGAAAAGCACTTCTGAGTAGCAATTAGCGTTTGGCCAAGCTTTAAAAAACTGCTTCTAAGTGTATTTTTCTCAAAAGTGCTTTTCAAAAAAGTGCTTTTGAAGAGATGCTATTTTTTCCTGCTTCTCCAAAACTGCTTATGCTTCTCCTCAAAAGAACTTTTTTCATTTCAAAAGCTTGGACAAACACCTTAATTTTAGAAGAAAAAAAACACTTTTGAATCAAAAAAGTGCTTTTGCCTCAAAAGAGGCTTGGCCAAACATGCTATAAATACATAAAGGGTACAATTCTTCCTTTACCTATCCCATGCTCTGCTGACTGCTGGGAAATTTGATATTTGTTTGCCCTTAAAATTGGATGACAATTGAATTTATATGCGTTTTTAAGGATACGTGATATAACTTGATACAAATTAAGAAGACAGATTGATATTGAAATTAACGATAAGGAAATAAATGCAAGCCATACAAAATGAACAACCTTAGCCTCTTAGTTTGATCACCCTCGAGCCAAAAAATGTTAGAACTGAAGAACAAGATGATAAGAACTAGAAATGATCAGTATATTGCTTTCTTTGTGCGTGTTACAATGTGTCCTACAAATGATCATAACCCCCCTTTATATAGTAGGGGTGTTCTACTCTTGGTACAATTCTACACAAGGTAAAAAATCTCATGATTTGCCAATTAATCGGCCTCTTCTTGATACGTGCCGAGATTTCTGTTGTGATCTTCGACCGATTGCGGATATTTCGGCTTTCCATTATTTGGCTCAGTAAGTTTCCCTCGATCTTGCTCAGTCTCTAGGTCACGAGCTCGACGATCTAATTTTGCACCTTGGTTCGATATAACTTGAGCTCGAGCTTTGACATGCCATGTTTCAGCCTCGATTGTTCAAACAATGGACGAACCCGATTTTGACCATATACAGATAGTCCCTCGTTTTTCGGAGAGAAGATAACGAGAAACAATAAGAACTTTCGAATCTCGCTTTGATAGATCATGACGTAAGTGACAAAAGGCAACTGAAACATTCCGTCGGTCCAGTCTTCAAGGCATTAAATTTGTGTCAGTGTTGGTCGGTCACTACTGGATTTGAACCGTCATTAGCAAACTATAAATATCCCAACTTTCATTCATTCAAACTTTATGTTCAAAAGCTTCTTCTACTCTTGTTCTTTAAGAATCTTTTCACTCTCCAACTTTTGTTCCTAGATTTCTTGAACCTTTTGCAACCACTCAACGTACCTTCTTAATTTCCTTTTCTTCATCTCTGCTTTAAAATGGCAAAAACTTCTAAGATTGTTCCACAGAAAGAAACAACCCCTTCATCACGGCCTGCCGGCGATGGGACTGCGGTGGAGCCACACCCTGAAGAGTTCGTTCCAGGAGGGTGCCTGATCGGTGCTGATTTTAAGATCGAAAAAACTTCTTCAGTACTGGGTCAGTACGATCCGGTCTTGAGATATATATGTATGATCACCGATGATCTCCTCTCCAAGGTCAAAGAGGATTGTAACTGGGCCGATAAACATGTGGTGATGCCCTCGCCTGAGAAATCAATTACTACCCACGTGGAGGGTTTTTAAGTATTTACACTTACCTCTTCATGTTGGGTCCCTTAGACTCGATCATTATTGCCTTCTGCAAAAAGTATGAAGTAACCCTCGGTCAAATTCACCCCTCTTTCTGGAGGATAGTGATTCTTCTTCGCTTTTTTGTAAGCAAAATCAAGGGGTGTCTCTTCACCCTTGATCATCTCATGCGTCTGTACAGTCCCCGACTCTATCGAGGAGGATTAATAAAACTTACTCACCGGGCCAATAAGGCCTCGTTCTCGAGTATAGATGAGGATCGGGACCGATGATGGATGGGCCAATTTGTTCGAGTGAAGACCTCGGATTTGATCCCTGCTGAGGACATGTCATTTCCCGAGAATGGAAGATGAAATGTAAGTATAACTTCGCCTTACAGATTTTACTTATTGTTTCTCCCCTTACCTCCCTTCTTATCGGTGTTTTTGTGGTGCAGCTGTGGCTTGGATGCCGGATGCAGTTCCTCGACTCAAAGAGTAGGTCAAGGATCTTGTGTCACAGAGACTGTATTTTGAGCGCGCTTGGCGTGAACTATCGAAGGGTCGGTGGGAGGCTCGTAATCATGGTAAGTTTTCTTTTCTAATTAAATAATGTTTGATTTCCTCCTTGTAATGTCAAATTCTTATCGGTTATGTTTTCTTTTGTAGGTCTCTCCATGGATGTTGCTATGAGGCCTCCATCACGTGATGAGGATGTGCCTCGCGAGTCCCATGCTCTGAGGCAGGGTGACGAGAAGAAAAGGAAAAGGGCTTCGAGTTTTCCGAACTCGGAAAAGAAAAAAACAAAGAGGAGGTCGGATCGTAAAACCAAGGGAAGCACCGGTGTTATATCCTTGGACTCAATCCATCCACTAAGGCATGTGTCCGAAGAAGAAGAAGAAGATAAATCTAAGTTGGTGGCCGCATACGGGAAGGTGTCTTGATACGAGAGGCCTCTGAACTGGCGGGTGTTGAAATTGAACCACCTCTACTTGAGGAGGTCGATGGGAGAACTTTAGCCGAGGCTCCCAAACCAGAGCGGGGTGAGGCCACTCCACCTCGAGCTAGAGGGGTCAAAAAGGAAACCGGGGATGAAGATTCTCGAGCAGGGGAAAATGCCTCAAAAGATGCTCGGGGTGATTGACATTACTGGGTCTCCTCAGTTCTCAAATGCCATGATCCATGAGGCCGGTATGCTAGAAGGTCGTTCTTACGAGGGGCCTCATTGGCTATAGATATCCACAACTTCTTAGATGGGCTAGAGTCTTCTGCCTCAGATGATGTCATTAGGCTCGGAGACTTGCTGGTGATAAAGAAGGTACCATCACTGGGATCCAGTGGGTCTTCCTCGAGCCCAAAGTTAGCGGACCGGTTCCTGGCCCCGAGTGTTGACCCTGACCGAAAGCGATCAATAGTTTTCTCTATCCCGGAGGATGCCCCGTTTTTCTCTGCCCCTATGGAGGTTGCTAGCTATCTTCGGTTTTTCGTGACCGAGGAGGACCAGTCAGTGATGGACAAGGTGGAAATGACCTACCTATTCAATGAAGCTCAACATGCGTTGAATCGGGTGACTTTGAGTGTCTTTTTTATTATGTATTTTAAACTTAAAGTTGTAAATAATCACAATACCTTCCTTTATGCTTGCGGGCCTCGGTACTGCACCATGATACTTTTCTCTGAAAGTGGGAGAAGTTAACCTAACATGAGGCCGAGGTTCGGGAGCTTACGGAGAAGAGGGATACCTACAAGCTTCTCAGTGAGAAGCTTCAGGCCGAGTTAGAAGCAGCCCAGAGGGAGCAGGTCGAGATGGTCGAGCAGGTAAATCGAGTACTTCAAAGATAGTGATGAATAATTGGACACAGTGGCTAACGATCCGATCCTGCGGGTTCGATATAGGCTTGTACAAATCGGGCAGCTCCAAGCGTAGTTAAACACAACATAAACTGATGCCGAGGAGTTCAAGAAAAATATAGATATCTTAGCCTCGAAAAAGGAAGTTGTACAAGCACAACTGGCGTCGGCCGAGGCCCAGCTCCGGGCTGCAAAAGAGATAACCTT